TTTGCATATGGTAATCGGTGTGAAAAATGTGAAATTTGTAATGCGAAAGGATAGATTTGGATTTGTGTGTATGATCATCATGTGAGTTGTGAATGGAATCAGACATGTTGTCTTGTACAGATGGTTCAACCAAGTCGGATGGATAATAAGGCCTTCTCTCCTATTGAGGGTAGTAGGATTTGGTATTACATGGAAAGTTTGAGCTACTCACTTTACTTTTTGTTTTGAAAAACCTTTTGCATTGTTTTGATAATTTTAATATCACCTTGATGGTTGGTTATTGAAGATGGCACGTTCGGCTGAGTTGGAGTCCTTCAAGTACTACTGGGTTATTAGGTGGTTTCGTTGTGTGCCTCAGGTTTTCTTTGGCTCAAGTCAAGATTTCACGAAATGACTCTTCAATATAGAAGGCGTCACATTCGACAGATCCTAATATGTAGGTGCAGTTTTGTGTTAACGTATGGAGGACCTTATCCGTATACAAACTAAAGCGTTACAAATGGTGTTAGTTGTCTTGTAATATGCTCTAACTCTGTATAATCTAAAGATTCTGTGGAGTTCTTCTGTTGAGCCATGGTGATATAGTGATATGGTGATATGGTGATATATACGGCACCTGTCCATGGTGAAATGTCTAATTTCGATACATTTTTTATTCATAGGAAAATTGTTTAATTCTAAGATGTCAATTATAATCTTTTGTTCTTTTCGCTTATCTCCTTCTGATACCGTGAACGCATGAAAAAGCCTGAATGATCTACTAAAACTTTAATTCCTGCTGAATTGCAAACCACCAATTCTAACCTTCTTGTTGCAAGAGAACTCTATCATATATAAACTCGTCGAAATGACGACAAATAGAAAAATTTGAGAAGATTAAAGAACGGAGAGAAAACCTAGTTCTAACGGTTTGAGAATAGTCGATAATCTCTCAGATAAAAATCTAAGTAACCATAAAATCACATTACTGAAGAAAGGAAGAAATTGATTGATTGTACTAAATATTTTTGCTTTGTTCCAATGTACTACTTAAACATGGGTAACTGAATTCGTTTGTTTATTCTCTGAAGAAGCAGCTTACACTGAGTCACGAAACGTTAGAAAAAGTTTAACTTTTCCATTGATTGAGATACTATAAAATATATTATTTTTTTAAAATCAACATTAATTTGTTTCGTTTCTTAAACTTTTTCACGCTCACAGTTACGTGCATCACTTACTAAAGCGTTCCGGAAAAGAGCGAAAAGTAACATTCGCTCAAATAATTCAGAAATTTCAATGAATGACAGTAGTAATACAAGGTGAGTAACTTCTACACTGGTCATTATAATTTTTCTGTGTATTTCATACTTGATGTTGATTGAAGAGAATATACCCTAGCACCTATCAAAAGAACATTTTTCTATTTGAATGTAACCACCCAGTTTGTAAGGATTTTCCTGTTACTAACGTCCACAGAATGATTAAATAACATGCTGGTCTTTTGAATACAGTTACCAAACGGTAGAAAATAAGGATTGTTCACTTTACAAAAGTCATTAGGAATATTCAAATGAAATAAGCATTATTTCTATCAGAATATTTGGCTGCTTGAACATAACTGTTTTAGAAGTTTCATTTAAGACTCATAAATTTTCCGTACAAAAACTGACAGTAAGATTTCATTTCTGATAAGAAAAACCTTTCGTATCAGCCCACTAAATTTATTAGCTGCAATCAAATCTCTATAAAGCATTCTCGACTTAAAATAATCATCAACTTGAGATGTTGTTCATTCACCTACTGTGAAGTTTGAACATAACCCCTCAATAGTTTCCCTTGTTCGTTAATCAAACAATGAATGTATTGGATGAGAAGCATTCAAAACAATAAAAAGAAACCTCTGATTAAGCAACATTATATGTGGTCTCTTGTAATGCAGTATGGCAAGACTGAAATGTTGCCTTTAGCTTCTATTGTCTCCGTTAGTTTTAAGCTCGATTTTAATATGGCTAGAAATGTATGTATCTGATTTTTATACATTTATAAGAAAACAATGAATTTCCACTTTGTGATATGTTTGCAGCTATTACGAGTTCACCTTATTCGATAAATGGAACGAAGATCAACGATGCAGTGATACGATAGGCTATTCTAATCCGATTGTTCCCGGCCCCGCTAACTAAAGGAAGAAGTCTTGATAAGACGTAGAGAGAATGTATTCACAGGCATCCAGGAAATACGATATCCAAAAGCCAAAAACGTAAGCTTATTTATACAATGCTAAACGCCCTTGGTGAGAGTCACAAAATAGCGTACTGAAATAATCCATCAACTAATGACAGTTGAGGATTTTCCGAGTGGGAAATGTAAGCGGAAGGTCAACTAAACCACTTTGGCGCGAAAACATAAAAATTCGAAATTTCAAAAATAAACTACAAAATTAGGATCTTTCGCAAGCGAGTTCTGAATATCTAACGTTTACATCACTTTGACTATTCGTGTTACCGTCAACAAATCACAATTTCGTTATGCTCTCTATCAATTTTATTTTCGTAGACCAATTGGTAGCTCAAATGAAACACTGCTAACTCTTGACCTGATACAAATTGCAGTAACACGATTGTTCCTTTGAGATCAAAATAATTAATAGTTAATTTCAAATAGACATTTGTGATTTAATTTTCAAAGTATCAATCTTAACAATTGATAAATTAATTACTATGATCTTTTTTTATCTCAAATTATCATCCAATAAATCAGTTTTTAACTTTTATCCAGTCTACAATCTACTCAATATGATCAAGTCACTATGAATAATCATAAGTCACAATATGAACAACAATTGGATAGATTATATTTGCTGGTTAGTCGAATGCGTTGGCAAATGGATTTACTTGAAGCTAGAAATAAAAAACTACAAGAGATTATATTAAAATATGACACAAACGAAATGCTACGCAATGAATTGTACACAGTGAAATCAGAGAAGAAAATTTCTCTCTACGGTATGTTCTATTTTGTTCACAATGAATATTTATAATGATATACATGAGTGATTATGCTATGGAAGTAAGATAGCTAACTACAAATGCCGATAAACTTTTATTTACACCATACAAAAGTTGTGCTCGAATGTTTTCGATAATTCTGTATTTTCATCATTCTTATCAGTGTAAATGTTCATTCTCATAAACATTTTCAGTCATTCACTATCTACACTAATTAGGCATTCATTGCCAAATTTTTCCTTCACAATTATAATCTTATCAAAACCTATAATTATTATAAACATTTCTCATCCAAAGAAACATTATTTTCAATTTGTAAAAATAACGTATTAGATAGAGAAAAGGAACGAAGACTATTAGTTTAGAATCTGTATATTTGTACATGAATTCGCTATCCTTGAACATTAATATTTGATGTCATAAAATGCACTCACTAGTTAGCTAAGGTTCATTTTTATTGGTTTCTTAAAATCCCAGTCAAGTTTTACAACTTTGAGAAACTTGAACGATATCATCAACTTTTGAATAACTCAGCGCATGCTCCAGCTAGACGAATACACTTACATTCACTTCATAGCTGAATAAATTGTTTCACCAGGTTAGAAAGCATCACCAATGACTTTTATAAAGCTGAAAAGTATACTACTGGTGTTATTGTAACATTTTTTTATTTTAGAAGCGACATCAAATTCAAAATGAAATGGAATGCATTAACATTTACTGATACAAACAAACAAACAAAGAAATAGTGATTTCATGTTGTTTTTTTCTCTAATCGTTATAAATTAAAAACGTCCATATAACACATAAATGTAAACCATGGCAACAAGATACTTCCGTCTTTGATTTTATAAACAAACTACTACTAGGACATGATCGTATGTTTATGCTAACTGGATGCGTAACTTATGTCGATAATTATATATGTGTCTGTATAGTGATTTAATGATAATTCCCAGTAATTGCATAGGGAATTTATAAATAGCTACGTTTACAGAATTGATAACATTATAATTTAAATGCAATAGGTTAGAGAAGAATAATCATAATGTCGACGACATTGAGAGAGGAAAGTATTTCATAATTTCCCTCAGTGAATCGATTTTTTTTAGCGGAAACCTAAGCATTTCGGTATGATCAACTGCATTAAGAATTAGGAAAAATAATTGTTCATGTCAATCAGTTTAGTTTACTACTAGTAGTTGGATAAATTTCCGACTCTTAGTTGAACTGTGATTGGAATTCTGGTCACACCACCTCTGTGAAATATATATATATATATATATATATATATATATATATATATATATATATGTACATATATATATATATACTTAGCCAGTTTCACCGTCCAGAGAATTATCTCTGCTTTGATGTTAAAACTTACTATGTTCCTATTATTCTTCATGATCTATGTAGATCGAGAATTTTATTTTCACATCATACAACCACTAATTGTAGGTGAGTGAATTACCAAGGTGTTATCACCAAGATTTGTCAGTGATCTCACTCATTAAACTTGATGAAGGATTTACAGAATAATAAACCATAATTAGAACTGTTTTTTATTTACACTTTGATCGTCTAATATAAACCAAACGGGATCAAAATAAAAGGGTGTAACTGATTTTAAGGCAAGGTTACTTCCATAAGCTTTTGACATAATGGCTTAAGAGTTGCGATTAAACAGAATTTCAAACTGGGTCTTAATATAAAATGTTATTCCTTATAAGTGTACTCAACAGATCTTTATTCGAAATTTTCATGAAAAACAATAATGTTATTAACTCAAACATCTTCCTGTGGACTATAATTTAGAGCGTCTACAGATAAAAGTGTTTCTCAAACGTATTTATGAACTTAGTAAGTCCAAATCTCATGTTCTTTCATGCCACTTACTTTCGAAGCTCTTGCTTTATTCGGTGCAATCAAGACGTATCATCAATACAACAACTGGCACTGCAACGTATGCTACACAAAATTTAGGACTAGTTCTAATAATCGCCGACGAGTCAACAAGTCTTTAGTATAAATTTGTTAGTCATAATTTTTCAACCCAGAATTCAAAACTTATCGTACAAAGTTTTAGAGAACTTGAAAAAACTAGGAAGTAATGATTAACCACCTTAAACTAATTAACAGCTTTACGAGAAGTTGAATGCAAATCCTTCGGAACTCTGGTTTATCAAGACATCGATAAGATGAAATAGAATGATCCATGTCTTAAACTATGAGGAATTTCCAAAATAGAGTAATGATTATCCTGCACTGTTGAGGATGTTTAGTTTTCTACTTGGTTGAAGCCTAATAGTCCTAATGTTTTAATAAAACCCTTGAAATCCATCTCGAAGCTGGTTAAAAGTGAGCGCATAGTTGTTAAATGGCACAAAATAGATATGGTTAAGAGTTATTTTATTTAAAACCCAATAGTAGATGGTTAAAATCGAGGGCCACTGAATGGCTAACGTTTATCCGCGCCAGTAATACTCTAAAGATAATACCTAATAGATGAGACCAACCTCATACATTATAAACTAAGTGCTACACAGTTGGTTATTAAACCTGTTGCGTAAAACGATATGATATTTTATTGATCAGTTTCAAATCGTGAGTTTATATTCTGAGACGAATAATATAAAGTAACTAGTTTGATCAACTTTCAGTAAAGTATAAGAGGTTGGGTAAAACCTCAGATTGATCAAAGTTAGACGTTGACAACGTTGAATGTCGGCTCGATGGTCTAAAAGTTCAGCGTCCACGTACGAAAGAGAAGGTCGTGGGTTTGATTCCCACAAGTATGCTCATGGATGCGCACTGCCGAGCAGCACCATACCAGGATAAAACGGCCGTCCGGTGCTTCCAGGTTTCTAATGGTGGTCTAATAATGACTGATTCAAGATTTTAATGAAATAAAATGTATCATCACTAACTGATCAAGTTTTTCGGTTTTATAGATTTATCAACTCAATATTGTCAAAGTTCAAGTCAATTTGTCCAAGTATTTGTTCATACTGAGAGTGTATATCAAAGAAATTTAAATAAAACTCCAAACATGAGTCAATGTGGTAATCAATCAGTTACTAACGCTAACTCTACAGATACACCATTAAACTGTATCCGATCATTTAAGATTGGTTGGACCGGATTGCTGGATGAAATGTCCTGGCAAGAATTAGATGAACGACTTCAAAAGTTACTTCAGGTATCCTTGTTTTATTGTTTATGAAACTAAAATAAAATTAACTGCGTAAACAGCCTCACATCTATTAATTGTAAATTTACACTTTCGTAATTTATTTCTGTTTAACTTGGATATTAAATTTGTGTATGGTTTAAAAGTCACCAGCCAGTAGTACTATGAAGGAAAAGTAATGCACTATGATACTTTGGAATATTAATACTTACATGAAATCAATAAAAGTGTCGATTTCGGCACTATTCAGAATATTTTACTTTAAATTGACAGTGTAGTATTAACAATTTTCAAAAAAGTTAAATATCACTGACAGTTCGGTTTACGAAATTCAAAAGAGCTATAATATATTACTGACATTGATTTATCATAGATTTGCCTTAATTACAGTCCGTAATCTAGTAATATCTACTGTAACATATTGAATAAGAAACAAAAAGTTGGAGGGAGTATCCTGTACTCTGGATCTTTCGGTATTTATTTTTGATGGTACTCAGATTCGAATGAATTGAGAAGGGCTTTAAAATAATGACACAATCACCCAGTTTTATTTACTTGCATGTGCCTGCATAATAGTTGACACAAATTATTTTGTCAGTACAAAATTCAACACACAATAAATTTTCACTTTGTATAGGACTTAAAACCTCGTCTACTTAAGATTCAAATGTTTTTAAGTAGTATCTTCTTAATTAAAACAGCCTTTCAGTGTTGATAGGTATTCGGTGACACATTTCAGAGAAAGTGGTTTGACTTTTAATTTAGATAATACCGAGTCGTAGTGGTCGATAGTTCAGATAAATAAATACTTGTTCATGTCTTCCTGTAGAGTAATCCTCACACTTCCAAATGACTGACAGAAACTCATGCAGCTAAAAAAAACACATTAGTTGACACTTATCCAAGAGAAACATTTGCAAAGGACTGTCCTGTAAAAATATGAACTTAAAACACTTAGACCTACAGTCAGAGACCTCACATCACTTGACAGTGTTTGCACGCATCCGTTAAGTAGCTATAAATAACTAGCGAACATATTCCACAATCGCTTGTTATTACTCTGAACTGACTCCGTTTTTTTATTAATTTAGTGTACCTTTTCTTTAAGAATAAATAGCTTGCCAGAAAATCTATTCCTAATTGGTTTAGCCCCTCAAATCCATATATCTGAATTATGTAAGGACAACTACTGTTACAAAAAATGCATACAGATGCACTTGACTTTCTGATTGATTATCTGATAAAGAATGAAAATGCTAGCAAACTAATTCAACATACTATCTGTGTTTTAATTTTAGTCTACGATCATTAGGGGTATAGAACAACTCAAAAAATCACTTTAGATTTCAAAGAGGACATTATTACTTCACTTTCTGCATTAGTGTTGAAAAATTAACTGTTGATGTTGCAGTTGCGTTTGTTGTTATGGTCTACCACCTGCTGTGATAGATAGATAGATATATATAAGCAAATATATTTCACAAAAATGAACTTCGCCTTTTAACCTTAACAAATAAAAGAATCAATAATTCATTATATTGCATTAGTATGTCTTGTATATTTGTTTACTGCTTTTATTCAATAGATTTTTAAAAAAACCGAAAAAAATCTCAACAGACAGTGAATCAAAATAGCGATAAATAGCAAGATGAAAGGAAGGGTTTGATTTGGATTCTTGTTAGGTTTGATTAGTAGTTTCTACTGTTCATTGTTGTCATCCTCACAAAAAACTGGAATTTAGGGAAAGCATGCTACAAATCCTTGACGAAACGATAGAAAAACTCCCAAGAAGGATGTATAAGACACTCGTATTGTAACTCAGACTTCTTGTGAGATAGGCTGCTAAAGCATTCTTACCAGTAGTCATAGATACTATATATCGGAGAAATCTTAATCACTTGAAGTTCCCTACACAGAATGGGTTAGGTTAAATAGTAAACTGGAATGACAGCCAATATAACTTTTACTTTTTAGTGCTTTTGTTCGTTTTGTATGTGATTTTCATAATTACCAAACAATTTTTTTAAGTGCCTCTTGTACTTCTCAGCAGTGTCCACTGAAGACTCTGTACAAAGTTAAACCCAGAACCTTCAAGTCGCTTGCATTCTTGACTTGTTGTAAACCACTAAGAACCAGGACAGTAATTTTCCTTCTAATTTTGGTCAGTGAAGAAAGGTAAAAGCAGTACATTTATTCAATAAAATCGGTGAATTAAAAAGCCAGACGTCCAAAAGTTTACTGGGAAATACTTCATTATTATTATTATTATTCTGAAATCCCTCAAATGTTCACTGCGTGCCTTAAGTAACCATAGAGATAAGGAAACTCCTTTGAAAATAATTGCTGGATTTGTGATAGAGACTGGGCTGTATGAAAATCTGTACAAGTTATGTTTACATAATCTAACTGAAGCTTTATAAAACCTTACTAGAGATCCGGTTTGAATTTCACCTCATTTTCCAAGGATCGTACACAGAATAAAAAAAATGAAAATCAAAACATCTTCTGCACTTTATGAAATTTGTTGCGTCAATAGGTTCCCCTAATATGAGTTAGGTTTGCTTAAATTGTCTACTTAATACGGCTATCTATTGTAGAATGCAACCTTAGACATTAGAACAAGTATAACCAGCCCCTCCCTCCAGGTTACCAATCAAAAGCCAGAAGAAAACAGATGAAATCTTTTCTCCGGGGTAAGTTTCGAAGTGTACATAGGAATCAT